TCCAGTCCCCTCACCATCCTCGTAGCCCTCCGCTGGACTCTCTCCAGTAGCTCCTCATCTTTCTCGAACTGGGGAGCCCAGAACTGGGGGCAGTACTCCAGGTTGGGCCTCACTAGGGCAGAGTAGAGGGGGAGAAGAACCTCCCTCGACCTGCTGGCCACGCTCTTCTTGATGCACCCCAGGATACCATTGGCCTTCATGGCAACAAGGGCACACTGCTGGCTCATGGTTAACCTGTCGTCCACCAGCACACCCAGGTCCCCCTCCGCAGAGCTGCTCTCCAGCAAGTCTGCCCCAAGCCTGTATTGATGCATGAGGTTGTTCCTCCCCAGGTGCGGGACCCTGCATTTGCCTTTGTTGAACCTCATCAGGTTCCTCTCTGCCCAACTTTCCAGCCTGTCCAGGTCACACTGAATGGCAGCACAGCCTTCCGGTGTACCCACCACTCCTCCCAGTTTTGTGTCTTCAGAAAACTTGCTGAGGGTACACTCTGTCCCATCATCCAGGTTATTGATGAATAAGTTGAATAAGACTGGGCCAAGAACTGACTTAGAACATATGAGGGGAAAAAAAAAGGCAAACTATGAAGGGCTTTTTTATCGCAAAAATATCTGTTATTAACACTAACATTAACTAGGAGGCATTAAGTTTACATTTTGCCAAAACCACTATGGCATTTAACTGAATTCAGAGACTAACTGTTAAACACCTGCTCTCCAAATTAAAGTTTTAAGATTCTTTATTCTGTACAATTATTTTCTGAAATAATAATAACAATAAAAAGAAAGATTACAGCAGCATCTACTTCTTGTTATAATCAGGGTTAAAAGTTCAGGCTTCAACTGTTCCTGACTTTTGTGTGAAGCCTTGTGAATCATTCCCACGATGACAAACTCAACAATTGAAAGAGGAGGGGTTTTTAGTGAAGATTGTTTGAAGTGTCTTTTCTCTGGTAAGCATCTTTTAAAACCAAAGCCTAAATAATGCTCAGTACAAAGGTCCTTATTCTCACTAACTCAGCACGCTCCTACCCTGTCTAGCATAACCATTCATTAAAAACCTGCCTCATCCCCGAAAAAGATACCTCAGCTGTGACGAAGACAGCAAAATTTTTCAACAGGGGGAAGTACAGATCGAAAGACCTTGAATGGCTAACACAGAAGAGATGGTAAAGAAAAGACTAGATGAACTTGAACTGTGACTAAAAAAAAGGACTGAACTTTGTGAAATCCTTTAAATTTTTGCCTTAAGCTAACATACTGAGATGCTGACTGCTCAATGCTCTTGTCTGCAGCTTCAGATTAAGTGTCCTGCTTTACAGCTTTTGTTATAATGATGGATGCAACTGCAGAGTAGACTTGTGCTATTGCGGTCTCCTGGGAGCCCTCATAAAAATGACTTGTGTATCTCAAGAGACTGTCAGAGTGAGTTAAAATTAAAATAAATAATGAAATATGATGAGGTGGGAAAGTTCCACCAGCTTTGCTGCAAATCATTACAGCAGAGTAGTTACTGCTTAGCATGGCAGCAAGTCACTGTAATGAATTCCCTAGAAACCAGTATGAGCACAGTGATGAAAACTGTGTATGCTTCACCATCAAGAGAAGATGCATCCTTAGGAGTGGAGAGTTGTCCTGTATCTCAGTGTCTCACATCTTCCATAATCAAATTGACCACATATTTGAATTCATCTGAATGATTCCGTTTTGCAGAAGCGCGTTCAGCACAGCTCTACGCATCTTTCATCCTGTCCCTCGGGGACCCTTTTCAGTCCCACGGAGATGGACTGACAAATAGTTATGGAACCTGTAATAAACTGCATTTCTCATATACTTTCTGACTTCTCCCTCTGCACTCTGCCCTCTAGACTTCATCCCTGTCAGAACAAATTCTTCCATTATGAAAATCTGACCAGCTTCAAATCAACATCATTATTTAGATATAAATAATCAGGCAGGAAACTGTTTCTTTCTTCCTGTGTCACATGTGCTTTGTCTATTGCCAGTGTTATATCTTTCAGCACTGCAGAAATGATGGTGTATTGACCTGGAGACCAAACACAGAATAGTGAGCTAGTATCAGAAAGAAAAGTTCGATGTTATTCTTTGTTTTATCTTTCTGAAGAAGAGGTTGATAGGTTGCCAAGTGAATATAGTGTACTCCTGTGGACCTCTGGTAATTGGCAGAAAAAAGTGAAATTTCTAGGTAGATGAAGGGAAATGGTTCATCTATCGTTGATGTCTATTTTTTGTCCCAAGGCTGGTAGAGCTGAGTTATGAGACTTTACATAAAAAAATGAGGCACCCATTTTTTTCTCAGCCTATGCGATACAGGCATAACATATAAACATCAGTGCTTTCTAACAGTG